GCCCACAGACTGAAACTGCTCAAATAGTAGCTAAAAAGCTCCTCCAGGAACTGGTTCCCTCATTTGGCCTCCTCTTAACAATGGGGTCCAACATTGGCTTGGCTTCCATAGCTAAAACCTCGTCTTAGTTAGGGTTTCTATTGCTGTGAAGAGACACCATGAGGGGGCTGGAGAGATGGCTCAGTGGTTAAGAGCATTGCCTGCTTCCAAAGGTCCTGAGTTCAATTCCCAGCAACCACATGGTGGCTCACAACCATCTGTAATGAGGTCTGGTGCCCTCTTCTGGCCTTCAGGAATACACACAGACAGAACATTATATACTAAATAAATAAATAAATAAATAAATAAATAAATAAATAAATATTTAAGGAAAAAAAAAGAGACACCATGACCATGGCAACTCTTATAAAGGAAAACATTTAACTTGGGCTGCCTTACAATTCAGAAATTTAGTCCATTATCATCATGGCAGGAAGCATGGAGGCATGAAGACAGACATGGTGCTGGAGAGGTAGCTTAGAGTTCTACATCTGGATCCACGGGCAGCAGGAAGAGACAGTGAACCACTAGGCCTGGATTGAGCTTCTGAAACCTCAAAGCCTACCCCCAGTGACACATTTCCTCAAACAAGGCCACACTTCTCTAGCAAGGCCACACCTCTACAAATGCCACTCCCTATGAGTCTATGGGGGTCATTTTCAATCAGATCACCACAACTCTCAACTAATAGCTGAAGCTTTAGACACAGATTGAGAACTTTATTGTGCATACAGACCTCAGAATTCTAGGCAGGTTAAAAAAAAAAAAACATAGCACATTAACCCTAACAAAACTATCATCAGAGTTCAGTAAAAGATGAATAGACCTCCTTCCTTTGCAGGTTAAAAAAAAAAAAACATAGCACATTAACCCTAACAAAACTATCATCAGAGTTCAGTAAAAGATGAATAGACCTCCTTCCTTTGTTTTGGGCCTGCTGAGTCCCATAGAGGGTGGAATTTGCCCACTATGTGATTATGTTTAGAAGACCTCCCCCACTGTTTCCCAGGCTCTGAGACCAGCAGTTGCCAGAACTCTCTAACTATTCCTTTCTCAAGTCACTACAGCCCCTCCAGTTCTTGAATAAAAGATATTCAGCGACTATCCAAAAGACTAAACTGACCTGAGTTCACCATCAGTTTCCCCTTGTTCAGTCTAGTGATACTGTCTGGGTCAAGCAGGTACCCAAAGGAGCACTGAAACCAACTTGAAAAGGACTCTACATGGTGATTCTCTCCATTCCTACAGCTGTGAAGAGAGCTGGCATTACATCATAGATCCACTATACCCAGGTCAAAATAAGTCACGGATGCAGCCAAATGGAATGTCTCCAGACTATGGACCCATGAAAATTAAGGCTTCATTAGATGTAAGGCCCTTCCTCTCTCTGCCCTCTATGTCCTCCTGGGTCTTATGTTTGGTATAAATACAGGGTCAGGTCTAATTCCCACTGCCCTCAGGGGTGGTGATAGCTAATGTGTCTGAAGACGAGCAACCCATATTCTGTCTTGAACTTTAATGTCTGGTTACACTGGAAAAAAAGGAAAGATATGGAAGTTTATCTTTTGAGATAGGAATACAGAGCTTACGATTCTATGCACGCCCTGAGGCTGGGCCCCTTAGTTGCCAGGAACAAGGAAGCTTCCATTGCAAAAATTAGGGTTGTAAAACAGAGGCTTCCTTAAAACATACAGATGACTATACAGAAAAAATCCCCCTCCCAAGAAATGCACAATAGAAAAATGTAATCCAATGGCCATAAAATTAAAAATCTGGAAATTCCATAACAAAGATTCTGGACTTTAAAAAACAGGGAAAACCTGGGGAGTCAGACTCTATGCCACAGGAAGCGACCCTGGGGACAGAGTTAATAATTCCCAGTCTGAAATCAGCAAGGATTGCTGGTTACTTAGACTACACACACACACACACACACACACACACACACACACACACACACGCCACCAGACTACATAGGGATAGGAACTAATCAGCCTGTCAGTCCACTGACAAAACTCACTAGGACTAGGGCCACCCCAAATTAACATTAGAGGATTTACAAGAGGCTGAAACAGGTCTACTATCCAAAACCTTTAATCTAGGCACTTCCCCTTCTTCTGATGCCTGCTATTCTGCCTTAAGGGTTAATTCTTCTGGACAACAACCATATTATCTATCCCCTGAGGCTACTTGGTGGGCATGTCCTAATGGTTTGACTAAATATGCCTTTTTGATACTTGCCAAAGTAAGTAGACAGGTTGATCTGGACCTAGAGGTATTAAAAGATTTCATTTCTGAATGAAAGCAACAGTTAGATTCCCTTATAGAAATGGTCCTACAAAATTGGAGAGGCTTAGACTTATCTCTCATGGGATAAAGGAAACTATGAATGACTTCGGGAGAAGCTTGTATTTCTAAGCCAATTGATCAGGAGTAATTAGAGAAAATCTTGCCATGGTTGGGGAAAAATCTTAAAAAGCAAAAGAGGCAAAGATATAAATGAGATAATTGATACCAGTTTCTGTTCTCTTGGTCCCCCTGGCTACCTACTCTGCCATCAGCACTGACTGGGCCTTTAATTCTCATTCCGATTGGATTAATGCTAGGGCCCTGCATGTTAAACTATATGGCCAATTACATATTAGTTCATTAAAATTAATATTCCTTAGGACCAACTACACGATTTAGAGCAGAGTAAGTCCATGATTTGACCCATTCACTAAGACCATTGGGGAATGTAACAGGGTCCTAGACCTTAGCAATACTAACACCATGATAGAAGTATCATTCAGACTGTAAAATTCAGCACATAGTTAGCCCACCTACGAAAATGAAAACAACAGCTTTTGGGAAAAGGCTCTAAATGTACTAACCTTGCTTTTTGGCTTCTGTAGTTCTGCTTTAGGCTTGTTAACTGAAGTATATTAACCCAGAATATGTTTTTTTGTACTTAAAACGCTCACCCTGAGAAAGGTGGGTGCTACACTGGGATCCTGAACAGCCAGTGTAGTCACTGGCCAGCAAATAAAGACTTTCTATTGGCTTAAACTCAGTCTTCTCTTCTTGGCAGTCTTCTCTGGTGGATACCCCATGACACCCTAGGGCTCAGGGAACCTGTGGAAAAGGAGTCAGAAAGAGCGTAAGAGCCAGAGGTGATGGAGGACACCAAGAAAACAAGGCCCTCTAAATCAACATGAGCAAAGCGCATATGAACCCAGAGACTGAGGCAGCATGCACAGGACCTGCATGGGTCTACACCAGGTCATTTGTGTATATATTATGGCTTCCAGTTTAGCATTTTTATGGGAATCCTGAGTGTGCAAATGAGTGGGTCTTTGTTTCTTTTGCCTTCTCATGAACTCTTCCTTCTGGTTGTTTTGTACAATTCCAATGTGTTATTTTTGTTGTATCTTATATTTCATTTTATTATTGTTGTCCCTTAAATGCCTGCTTGTTTTCTAATGAGATACAGAAAGGAAGTGGATGCAGATGGGAGGCAGAGGTGGGCAGGAACTTGGAGGAGTAGAGGGAGCAGAGACTGTAATCAGGATATTTTCAATAAAAGGAGAGAATTTTAAAAAGAGCCCTAGGCTATCTAATAAAAATCCAAGTACCAGGCATGAGAAATCTCTTTTCCAGTTGTTGGTCAGGAGTCCAAGAGACTCCCCCAAACAATATAGGTTATTGCTGTGGCCCTTGGTTGCCTCCATGAAGTTGAAAGTCAGTCTCTATTGTGAAGGCACCACCTACTTTGGACACTGCACTCACGGGATTTGAGTTTGATCTGACCTGAAAGCCTCCTCCCTGGAAGACTAGCTTCAGTAGCACCAAAAGCTATTAGCAAGCTGCCAAGGGAGGAAGCAATCAATAATCCCACGCAGCTGTGACACCTACAATGCACGACGAAGCGAGCATTACGTGCACTACAAATCTGTGTAGCGAGTTACCCCTAAAGGTTCACTAGTGGCACTTACATATTGGGGGTAACCAACAGCTGTCTAACTGGACTTAGGTCCACTCCACAGAAGGGAAATCATGCCTATGCCTAGTACTATAATCCTAGTCAGCCATCCACGGCTAATGAGGTCGTGGATATTAAACTACAATTACCACTTTCCTAACCCAATGTAATTCCTAACTGTGTTCTAAATACTTCATACACATATTAGTGTAGCTCTCACCCCTTATCCTAGAAGCTTCTTTTCACAGCAGAGATAATTACACAAAGTAGGAACTCGTCAAAATGCAGAGAACTGACCATAGGGTACCCAGCCCCAGTTGAAACATCTACATCATAACCTGGTGCCCAACACAGAGCTTGAACCCACGACCCTGAGATTAAGAGTCTCATGCTCTATCAACTGAGCTAGCCCAGACCTCAGGGTGGGGGAGGCAGCGGTTGCAACTTGGAATCTCCGCCTTGGCAGTGGCCACCCTCTCAGTTGCACAGGGGACAAGGACGGCTAGTGGGGAGCAGAGGCCTTCTGGGTTGAAACTGCAGCGGTCATGGCCACTGCCAAGGTGGGGACTCTGGCTCTCCACTGCCACCTCCTCCATCAAAAGTGCTTGCTAAACAGCACCTAGATACCTGTACCCCTAGTGCTGGGTGAGGAAAAGAGGTAGGACGAACCCAAGGATATGCCAGTCGGACAAGTTGCTCTACCCCAAACATCTCTCAGGGGAGGAAGAGATACTGTCTCAAAAGAAATGAGGAAAGTGAAAGACACAAGTTGTCAGTAGCCTCCACAAGCATACAAACACAAGAAAACAAACCCTTCCTTAAACTGCTTTCATCAGGGATCCTGAAATTGGTCACAGAAATGAGAACAGTAAGCAATAGGTGAATCCATAAAATCAAAAGCCCATTTATGATTTTTAGAGACAATAGAGAAAGATATAAACAATTTAGAACTACATGAAAATGGTTTTAGTCCAACACTGTATTACTAAATGCCACTGAATTGCTTAAAATTGTTACTTTTATTTTATATGTATTTATCTCAATACAAATAAATAAGTTACAAAGAAAAAATGCATAAAGAGATAATGTAACCATTAAAAGCCACAAACAAAATAAAGAGAACTGGGATATAGCTGACTCACTTCTCTAGCATGTACAAACCCTGGGTTCCATCCCTGCAAACAGAAAAGAGATGTAATGGGGAGGGAACTGGCTGGTCTTAAGAATCCTATCACATCCACATTAAGCTGTCCAAACCTCAGAAGCTGCAGCTCTCTGCAATTGTGCCTGCCATCTGTAAGGTCCTACAGTACTGGGCTCTAAATGTCTAACATGAAGACCAGAACTCAGCATTGCCTTCTTTGCCTTTGCTAGCAATCACAAATCAGGTCTATGGGTTTAAGGGCCAAGTCTATAAACCAAATTTTAGCCACATACTCTGGCCAGTGCCAACTATTTTCGAGGGACAGTGGATGGTGTTGGTGTAGTTTTAAAATCCAAGGTATCTAGCTATTGAAACTAAAGCCTTCTGAGCAAGTCTGCCATGTAAGGGATTGAAAAAATTCAGTCTGCAAAACTTTATATAGAGGAATATCAACAACAAAGAGAATCTGATATTTATACAAGAAAATTCTTAATTTTGATGGCACAGGCTTCAGTAATGTCTACGGTCACTGGCATGGAAGGACTCCCGCTCCCGGGAGTGCCTATGCTTTTTATGCCTATGGGACTTATCCGGACTCCTACTTCTGCTTCTATGACTCCGCCCTTCAGAGTGCCCACCATGCCTGCTGGAAAAAGCAGCACCTGAGCTCCTCCCTCTATCCTTATTTCTATTCTTTTCTTCTCCCTCCCTCCTGCTCGAGGACTTATACTCGTGCTTGGGTTTCTCTTTCTTTGGCTCCCACTCAGGATCCTCTGCTCTACCATGGAAGGAACTCCTGACATCAGGGGAGTCTGGTTGGTTCTTCTTTCCCTCTCTGGATTCAGACTTCTGGGCTTTCTCTGAGTTCTTGCTGCTGTGCTTCTTTGGGCCATGGTCATCCTTTTCCTTTGCTGTCTTGCTGCTGGAGGACAAAGAGCAGGAAGGCGGTTCTGCTAGTTCCCTGCGTTCAGTCTTCTCTTTTTCTTTCTTTTTCTTTTTCTCTTTTTTGTCTGCGCAGGGAAATCAATAAGCAAAAGAAAACAAAGAAATCTCTTTAAAATGTGCCTTTCTTCTCTCAGTAGATCACATAAAACTGAGACATTCCAAAATGTTCCCATGCTAGCAGATGGAGAATATGCATGTGAAAAACATCCCAGGCAGCAGCAGGAAGCAGTCACAGGTTATGCCTCCAGGGAAAAATGTCTCCCAGAATCAAACTGGATATCTGTTAGCCCTGATAAGTCAAGTTGTACAAAACAACCCCACACAAAAGGGCTGTATCTCCAAATACAATCTCATTTTGAGATACAGAAGAGTTAAGGATGGCAATATATCAACTTAGGGAGACATAATTCAGCCCCTACAAGTATCCTTCCTTCCTCAGAAACATATGCTTTCTCAATTAAAATAAGGATTCTCACACCTTCCCTTTTTCCACATAAGAGTGAATTACTGACTATCTATGCATGCTGGAAAAGAAGACACTAAGACTACCCAGAATCTTCTCCTGAGTTTGAGCACTCCACCTTTTTTGTGCTTTTTTGTGGGTTTGCCATCTTCATCTTCAGAGACCTCAGGAGAACTTAATGGAGGCATATTAGCACCACAGCCCTTCTCCTGGCTCTCTGGTCACGTCATCCACATCTTCTGATTCCTGAGGAGCCCGGTAGTTTGACACATGGTCCACGCGGATAGTCCTTCCTTTGATCTAAGCAAGACCAGAAATGTTTTAACAAAGACAGCCCCAGCATCCAACTCTCTGAACCAAACTACAGAGACTCAGGTTTGAATCATATCCATTACCTTAAATAGGAAAACCATAAAAGAGAACATGCTCAACTGGTATGTTATAGCATATATATATATATGCTATGTTATAGCATACATATATATGTAAATATATATACGTAATATATATATATACTCATATATATATTATAGCTAATAATACACAGCTGAATGGGGCCTAGGGTAGGTGAGATCTCTGGGGCAACTGTGACCAGAGTTTCCCTTGATATACTACGGGGACTATGCAAATTTCTTCATGTCCTGCATGTATCATGAAGTTCAAAAACACTCAGAAGTACTACCCTAAAGCACATCATCAAGAAAGTCTATGAGAATTTAGGATTTAAAGCACAGTTGATTATCTATAAGGATAGGGAAATAATACAGTTGTTAAAGCACTTGCCTTGTAAGAATAAGAACCCGAGGTTAATCCTAAAAGCGCACACAATCTGGGTGTGGTAGCACACACTTGTAATTCCAGCAATGGGAGGCAGAGACAGGAAGACTGCTGGAGCTCACAGTCAAAGCAACCCTGCCTACTTGACAAGTTCCAGACAAGTGAGAAATCTTGTCTCAAAAAAAGGAGGAAGAGGAAAATGTAGGCAGACCTTGAGAGATGATGCTGATGCTGTCCACCTATATGTGCTCACGCATGAATACACATATACACAAAGTTATACACAACATTTAACAAGAAAACAACATGTCATAGAAAAGCATGAGGACTAGAACATGAAATCTGATGTTACAGCTGCTTTTTCTTTTTTTATTGATTTTTATTGAGCTCTACATTTTTCTATGCTCCCCTCTCTGCCTCTCCTCTCCCCGCTTCAATCCTCCCCCAAGGTCCCCATGCTCCCAATTTACTCAGGAGATCTTGTCATTTCCTACCTCCCATGTAAATTAGATCTATGTAAGTCTCTCTTAGTTTCCTCATTGTTGTCTAAGTTCTTTGGGGTTGTGATTTGTAACAGCTGCTTTTTCAACAAAGTAATCAGGAGGCAAACTCAGCCCAAGGGAACAAAGTTCTTTTGTTGAGGGAATGGTACTGAACTAAGGGTCTCATATATACCGGAGAAGACTCCAGCACTGAGTATCACTGAACTATATTCCTACCTTTACTTCCTTTTTTCTTTTTAGTGTAAATAAACTGTAATTTATTTGCAAGGTTGATAATTCTTCCTTAAAACTAATTAGGCCATCTTTTAATAAAGTATAAATCATTACAGATGATTTTTACACAAGATTTTACATATTGAAATCTTTACTTGAGTTTTAAAAGCCCAAATGGAGAATATGGTAAAATTTCATTTTATCACCATTTGTACATATAAATAGGAGCACATGAATCCCCTTTAGTGAAAGTAAGCTGACCCTGAACATAGCTGAACAGGTATTAACTACAGTTAACTATTTCTCACAAGTCTCAAGCTCAGGAAAAATTCCTAGCCCCATGACTTGACCATAGTGAAATACATTGTCCTGTAGGCACAGGTGAGAGCACAGAAAAACACAGAAGGTACTATTCCATCAAGATAACCCCAGAAGGGAGAGTGAGTTGCTTAAACAAATATTGTCAAGGATGATATTTACTGGTTTAGAGAAACTGACGAATTTTCATTACATTTTATAAGGCCAGCTAACCTTACAGTTAACTTTAGACATCTACACAGTACAATCAACTTACAAATACTACCAGATTTCATAATGAAAATGGCTACTATTTCCTCTAAAACCAAAACAGAGTAAAGCATAAGTCTTTGGCGCTCCTTAAAGAAATAGCAGGTTATCTATCATTCTTTACCAGACCTTTGCTTGCCTGCCAGTAGGGCAAATACCACATCTGTGCATCACTGAGTAATAACAGTAATAACGCCACTAGAAAAGGCAACTTCAGGAGCTGGAGAGATGGCTCAGAGGTTAAGAGCATTGCCTGCTCTTCCAAAGGGCCCAAGTTCGATTCCCAGCACCCACATGATGGCTCACAACCATCTGTAAAGAGATCTGGCGCCCTCTTCTGGCCTTCAGGCATACACACAGACAGAAAATTGTATACATAATAAATAAATAAATATTTTTTTACAAAAAAAAGAAAAGGCAACTTCACAGAAGTCATTGGCTAAGCGAATTCATTTGAATGCTCTGTTTAGAGGCAGCAAACTATCACTGTTAAAGATTGGGTAAGTCAAGGGGAAACTGCAGAATGGCAAGGGGTCAGGAAGAAAAGAAAATGGGATCATTCTGTTTTTAGTGAGTCTTTGGAAAATGATAAAAATGAGAATGAAATATCTAGACCCTCTTTCCTAATTTATAGCTACCCTCTTCTGAAGGATAACTTATACAGTCTGATGTGACCAAAGAGCCATTCTTTACTACTTTTCTAATTAAACAACTTGTCGCCTAAGTTTCTAATAGTAATGTTCAAATGACAAGACACTATTATTAATGTCAATTACAAATATTCAACTACTCCGAATGTAAGAACTCATTTGGTACGGCATTAATGTGTGTTACTACTCCCTTCCCTTCTGTTTTTTTTCCCCCATATATTTATTTTTTTGCCTAAAGGCAGAAGATTGACGTGATTCTCACTTGCTACTCAGATACATGGTCCCATCAGACTCCCATGAGCATCACTGTGGGAGCTTGAAATTTAGTTCCATGATTATCTTTTTACTTCCTTTTTTTCTTAAGCTCTCCTATCTTTTTCTACTCCTGCCACACAGGACCTTTCAGTTTCCACTGATTATTGGACTATAGACTATAGTTGTGCAGGTGAACAACAATAAAATGTACCCTTTGCTTTATAAACAGTCTATTTTCAAGTAGATACACTTCTATGTAACAGCATCTGAACGCGGAATTTCAGTTTTACTGTTCCATTCCAAGACTACATTTTTACGTGTGCCTTTAAACCTGAGAAGCTTCTGTCATCCATTCTATTTCTCATTTTGATACTTTTTTTTTTTTAAAAAAAGCAATTTTCCTTTGATGACAACTTCTTCTGAAGGTCATTCCCTTAAAATTCCAGAATGGCCTATTTTTATAGAATTGGTCAGCAGATTTAAGTAAAGAGTTTCCAAGAGCCAATAAGTTAAGTCACTAGAATCATATATTAAATACAGATGTTTGTCTTAGCTCCTAAAGCCCTGATGAAGCCCCCGGTTCTCTAGCACAGCACAATATCCAAGAGCAGGGTTTCCAGTCTCTAATGCATTAGAACAGATGGAAAATGTGTGTAAGAAAAACATCCTCCAGATAAGGGGGCATAGTACCCATGTTTCTGGAATGACAGTTTGCTAACACATAGGGAAAAAGAATAAGTCCCGGCAGATGCATGAGCCAGAAAATGGTTTCCTGGAATCATTCCCTATTCAGTGTGTCTAGGCACCTCTACAACCCCCACAATACATCCAGCTGACCAGGACTTTTTCGGCACCTGTAAACAACAAGCAAAAAAAAGAATGAAGCCTACCTTGTACACAGGAGAAGTCCAGCCAAATCCTGCACAGTAAGCATATTTACCTTAATTCCATTAAAATTGTCAACAGCCAGAACTGTGCTCCTCTGATCTTCATAGCACAGGAAACAGAATTGATTGGATTTCCCAGGTTTCTTGTCTCTCACAAGATTAATGTTGACAATCTCCCCATATCTGTTGAGTTTATAAAATGTATTATTCATTTAAAATGCAAAAATCTTCATACTGAAACAAAATTCAAATACTCAGTACAGGAGAAATCAATTAAGATGACCCAGTAGGTTGAAAAGAAAAAGTTAAATAAGAATATAACAGCCGGGCAGTGGTGGCGCACGCCTTTAATCCCAGCACTTGGGAGGAAGAGGCAGGCGGATCTCTGTGAGTTCGAGACCAGCCTGGTTCCAGGACAGGCTCCAAAACCACAGAGAAACCCTGTCTTGAAAAAGCAAAAAAAAAAAAAAAAGAATATAACAAGGCCAAAATGAATGCATTAAATGAAACTGACTAAGTTATTTTGCACTGAAAAAAAAAACATAACTCATGAATCAAAAATGTGGGTGAAGGCAGAGGTAAGCAGATCTCCATAAGTTTGAGGCCAGACAGACTAATTTATATTTCGATTTTCAGGTCAGCCAGGGCTACACAAAACAAACAGACACTTATCAGAGATTTTTACGTTTAAAACAAAGTTGACAAAAATAAGACTAGATGAATTAATATCAAATAAAAATAATTACCAATAATCCACTAATGTCTGACTAGGAAACATATAGGTATTTTTGAAGTGTATAATGATATAAATTATTTTCAAGAATTCATGAAACAAATTAAATTCACTATTTGTAAGGTCCAGAAATAAATATCAATAAGCACTAAAGCTTCTTTAAAAAAAAAAAAAAGGCAGCTCAGCAGTTAAGAGCACCTACTGCTCTTGCAGAAAACCCAAATCTAGTTCCCATTATCCAAGCCAGGTGTCTCACAACCTCTGTAGCTCCGGGGGACTCCGATGCCTCTGGATTGATTCTACAGTGCATACTCACACTCACACAAACACATGTGCACACAACCACATATATATATAATTTAGTTAAAAATAGCCAGGCAGTGGTGGCGCACGCCTTTAATCCCAGCACTCGGGAGGCAAAGGCAGGCGGATCTCTGTGAATTTGAGGTGAGCCTGGACTACAGAGCAAGTGCCAGGACAGACTCCAAAGCTACAGAGAAACCCTGCCTCGAAAAACAAAACAAAACAAAACAAAACCTAGTTAAAAATAAACTCTAAAAATCTACAGTATATACTTACCAATTAGTGTGATGAAACTAGAAATAATATTTTAAACAAAACCTGCTACTGCAGCTAAAGAGATGACTCAATGGCTAAGAGCACTGGTTGTTCTTCCTAGAGGACCCAGGTTCACTTCCTAAGCGCCCACTTGGAGGCTCATGACCATCAGTAAGAGTCTGGTATCCTCTTCTGTGCCTGGGCACTTACATAGTAATAGTACAGACATACATGCAAGTAAAATACCCATACACATAAAATTTAAAAAAAAAATTAAAAAGAAAACTTCCCACTAACCTGAACTTGAAATCTATTCTCTTAGGTAATAGCTAGATGAAAGAAAAATTAAACAAAATTTAAAATGTCAAGTGTATATCACTTAAAAACTAACAAAAAATTTAAAATACATGAAAATTTCTAGAAGCTACACTCAGGAAAATCTGTAACCTTGAATAATTTGACTCCTTAAAAAGAATGAATATAAAATAAAACTAACCTAATAAAGACAGGCTTTAATAAAGATCAAAGCAAAAATTAATTGAATACAAAAATAGCCTACCTTACTTCTTCTAAAACGAATTCTAAATATGCTTTATAAATAAAAAAAATCAGAAAATAAAATGGGAATTGATATATGTTACATGACTTTATACACACACACACACTCTAATCCAAAATTTAGAATCTTAGTGCAAAATAGTAAATGTGATTCAACAAAGGTTGAGAACTATTTGACAATATAATGGAGCTATAGCCAATACAATTAGATAAATAGATACAAGAAATGGAAAAGTATCTGCTTGCAGAATATATACGCTGACGAGGGAGGGGGACTTGATTGGGGGAGGGGGAGGGAAAGGGGAGGCGGCAGTGGGGAAGAGACAGAAATCTTTAATAAATAAAAAAAATCTGATTTTTTTAGCAAACTAAGAGTGGGATACATAATAATTTTAATAATGTAATAAAAACATTTTATTGTTGAAAAAAAGAGAAAATTAAACAGCATCGATGTTTAATAAACAATGATAAACAATGACAAAAATAAACAGTAAAGTAACAGGATAGGAAGTTCCAGCACAGCTAGGGCTACACCAAGAAACCCTTTATCAAAAGGGAAAAAAAAAGGATTTGGATAAATAGGCATTTAAGTGAAAGCAGAAATTAGTAAAATCATTTCAGACAGCAATGCAGCAATGCTGATAAAACATACCAGGCTAAAACTATGTCTGTTTTGCCCAATTTTTCAGTGCTTTGCCCTAATTCTACAATGCCACACAGATAAGGTCAAGGGGCCCTGGCACTGCACCCTCCTGGGAATTCCACTTTATTCCAATGCAAGCCCATGCTGAACAAGGTTCAGTAAAAACTTAACAGAAGTGGGCTAGAGTCCCCCAGACAGCCTCTAAAAGTTCCAAGCTCTGGGATCTCCCACGTGCTAATGTTCTGGAACCTTATCTATCCTGGGACTGATCAAAGCTCTAGCCTTCCTCATGCAGGGATGTCATTCAGCCTAGAATGAAAGTTGGTGGCTTTTTGAGACAAGGTCTTACTCTGTAGTACAGGCTGACCTAGAAAGAATATATTTTGTAGCCTAGGCAGGCCTCAAACTCATGGTGATCCTCCTACTTCAGCTTCTTCTACCGGTGTCAGAGGTGTAATACCTTTTTGGCAATACAAAAATAAACTACAGAAGCAAAGTGCTCTGTGTACCCAGAAGGCAGGGAATGAAAGAAGACTTACTGTGAGAACACACAGATGATGTCTCCTTCTGTCAGTTCATAAGGAAGCCCTCCTAGGAAAGAAAAAAAAAAGCACAGTCCAGTTCAGCAAGCATTAATCAAGTGTTTACTGCATACTATGCACTAACAGATGCTGGAGTTGCAGAGTCAGTAAGCCTTGAGCTCACAAAAATCAGCCTCATACCATGACAGAGTGAGGAAGGTGACAATAGTCCAGAGGAAAAGTAACTCTCGGATCTCTGAGTTTGAGGCAAGCCTGGTCTACATAGTGTGTTCCCGAACAGCAAGAGCTACATAATGATACTGTCTCAAAAAAAAAAAAAAAAAAGGAATAAAAGTGATTAATTCTGAGTGGAAAGGAGTCACCACTTACCAAATGAATCTTATCATTCAGTCCTCACAACCAAAATCCTATAAAGCAGATCATTTCCTGCAAAAGACTCATATCTCACAAACACTGAGTTCAAATATGCCTTTATGCTCAGCTACACACAAACTAGGAATTATAGACATAAAAAAGCTGTTATGCATTCACCTCCAGGACTTTCCCCTCATGTGTAGACAGGGGTCATCAGTATACTTGCCTCACGGGAATGTCACAGATACAAACCTGTGCATAGAAAGTGCTTAACACAATATCTAGTGGAACAGACTCTTTCAAAAGTCATAAAGTGAACACAGAATAGTAATACTGTTACCAGAGACGTAACAGGTCCCCTTTGCAGGTTCTTAGTCTCGCTAGTAATTTTAAAACAGATTAAGGATGGACTAAGGATGGACTGGAGAGGGAGGGGGAGGGGGATAGAGGGAGAGGGAGGGAAATGGGAGGAGGGGAGGAGGTAGAAATTTTTAAGTAAAAATAAATAAATATATTTTTTAAAAAAAAGATTAAGGAAGAAGCTTAAGGTCCAGCAAGTCGTCAGTTACACCAGCTACTGGGAGGAGGGAAATAAGAAATATGTTGCCGTGCCTACTGAATTAGAGGGTCAGGCAGGCAGGCATGCTCAGAAATGGAGGCTGAGAAGCGGCTGCAAGGGAACAGCAGAGCCTTTAGATTTGAAATAAGGAAGTCTAGTGTGTTGGGGCAAGCACGCTCAGGATTTCAGTCAGTATCCAAAGAAGGGATATAAGGGAAGCGGGTAGATAAGTTAGAAATCAGAACAGCAGGTAGACTTAATAGCAATCTCGGCAAACACTCCTCGGGTGTATAAGGGCACTGCTTTATTAATGGGATAGTTTTTCTTCCCATGTCTTCAGGTGAATGAGCTTTCCTGGCAGGCGACTCCTAGCCAGATGATCTTTTTGTTTTGTTTTTTTTGATTTTCGAGACAGGGTTTCTCTGTAGCTTTTGGTTCCTGTCCTGGAACTAGCTCTTGTAGACCAGGCTGGTCTCGAACTCACAGAGATCCGCCTGCCTCTGCCTCCCGAGTGCTGGGATTAAAGGCATGCGCCACCATTGCCCGGCTAGCCAGATGATCTTAAACCCGGTTGGATTAAGTCTTAAGGAAGGGACACATTAGTACGTAGTACTTAGGTTTGCTTAGAATGTCCCATAGCCACCCAGGGTCAAGGGTGTAATACAGACGGTATTCTTTTCATCAGGAGAAGTAGCTTTCCCTTAAAGAACAAACCGTGATACCACCCCCTTTTTCAGGTGGCATTTTAAATCTTAAGCAGGAGTGGAGCTGATTTTGAGTGGGGAGTCCGCCCTCAGTGTCTTCCACGCTGGCTAATGTTTGTCCTGATGCCTAGCAATACAGCAAAGGACTAGAAGCAAAGGTCAATCAGAGGAAAAAAATAATTCTGAGGAAAGACAGATAGTAAACATGAGATAATAAGCACTAATCTTACAGTTTCCAGTGCAGCAGTGTGTGACCTTAAAGAACTCTATGAACCTGCCTGCACCTCAGTTTCTTTGATATCATTATGGGTTCATTGTGGAGTTAACTGTGTTTCAGCAGCCAAGTGGCAAGATTTTAAGTAAATAACAATCCTTAAAAGCACTGGTTTTTAAGACAACTTAAGATGGACGAGTAAAAATAAAAAATAAAAAACGGACCTGTGGGCAGACAAGCTACAAGAGTGTGGGTGACTAGACTGGTCAGAAGTGATGACCAGAGGCGCAAAATACCCGGAGCGGGGGCGCAGCGACTTTGAACAGCACTGTTAGAGAAAACTGTGGACCTCACCAAGAAAAATCCAGGCGCTGTCCTTGTATTCCGAGTGCCAAGACACCTTTTCTGCCACCCCGAGCTGAACCTCTCGCTCGTTCAGTTCGTTGATCAGCTTCACCTTGGTTAAAGGGCTGCGCGGGAGAAATGAAAGACGTTATGCAGCTTTCCTCATAGCCTACCTTCTAGATCCCGATCTTCTCCCGCCCCGAGGCCATGAAGGCCCTACCACCCCGGCGAGGACCGGTCACCGTCTTTGTGGGCGACCATCCGTATCCCACTCCCCTTTCCACAGAGAAACTAAAGCCTTACTTCATATTCGCGCCTTGGCGCTCCTCGCTCAAGCCATCAGCTTCCGGGTGAAGCTACAAGAGCGCACGCAACCCGATCTCCCAGCTCAGATTGGAGCCTGCAGAACTCGAGGCGGAACTTCCGCTGGAAGTTCCCTGCTACTAGCTTCTGCGCAGTAGCGCGGAAGCGCTTTCTCACGCTTAGTAATCTTTGCTCCCGGGGCAAATAGTTCCCAAGTTATTCGCTGCTTCCTTTTGTGATGTAAGCAGGGGCGGGATCCTTGGCTTTCTGGATAAGGCATTATTTGATTTAGCTTTAAACGTTTTCTGAATGAGGTAGTGTGTCTGCTCCGGGGTCTGTAAGTCCCAGCTCTATCTCTTAATCTAAAGCCCTGTTCTTTTCCTCTCGGGTAGCTGCTCAGAAACAGTCCCTCAAAGCGTCCCTTTTCAGGACGAAAACAGTGGAAAAGTAAAGGAGATAGCTATGAGATGCTAAATATTGTTTCCTGCCCCAATATTAAGGATGGACCGGTGTTGCTCTACAAACTGAATTAAATACCCACAGATTTATGTAAGAAATGTGGCCTCTTTCCACCAGCAAGCGGAAATTAATATTGTCAAATTAGTATTTATCAATTGAGAAGATAGTGAACAAGCGCTGAATGATGGGGTAGACAACTTATACAGGCTATCTCTGTTAGGTCTCACTCAGTACCTGTGACTCCCACCAGCACTCCTCACTCCGCGCCTACCCTAAACCTCTCCCTCCCAGGGGCTGGGCTTCTGCTTCCCTTTCCCCAGCCGGATCCCTGTAGAACTGAACCATTTTCATCCAATCTCTACCCTCCCAACAACCCCAAGAACTCAAACACCTAACAGTTATTATCCCCATTTTACAGAGGGAGAAACTGCCCTCCAAAGCAATTAGCTAGCTTGAAGGTCTGGAGATACTGCTCAGTGGTTACAACTATTTGGTAATCTTCTGGAGGACCTGTATTCAGCTCCCAGCACCCACAACAGGCAACCCACAACTCCAGTTTCAAAAGAACCATCCTTCTCCTCCAGCCTCTGTAGGTACCTGCACACACACGGCATGCACAGACATACATGCACATGAATAAAACTAATTAATCTTTTACATTTTGAGTAGTTTGAAGTGCTCTGCTTGTCCCAATCAGGTCAGGCCAATTTAAGCAGCCCTTATTGAGCATCTAGGTGTGTCCTGTACAGTTGCTCTGTAGAAAGGAATCTGAAGGGGCAATACATATTTACTTGGATAGTTCATGTCATAAATATTCAGAAGTCCATATGCCAGCAGAGAATAGGGGTGCCATTTTGTGAATTCTTAGTCTCTTTAATAATAGAATTTTTAAATGGACTCAAGAAAACTTAAAGGCCAGTTTATTAAATTTTGAATTACAACAGTGCGAGGAAACTACAAATCGTGGCAGTTAGTGGAAGGAAGGAGATGCTTAAAAGGAAACAAGAAAGCGATGCCTTTTGATTTAGGGTCTACAGGCGAAGCAGCTTTGCTGAGGGATAATCTCACGAGTAGGTGATCAACAGCTCCTACTGGGTTAACTCACGTTAATTGTTTTATTTCAAACTTTATTATTTCAAAAAAGAAGATTGCAAGTTTAACACTGAAATTAACCAGACCCAAAGACAATACAACTCAATGAACTTCCACAGTTTGAGTAGCATTCAGAACAGAAGCTGTACAACTTCACTTTGAACTTTATGCTATCACTAATAAATATATTTTTATTCACTTGTCCACCACATTAGAACTAGAAGAAGAGGGAAGTAGAAAAAGATCTCCTGAGTAAATTGGGAGCTGGGCACCTTGGGAGAGGGCTAAAGGGGAGGGGAGAAGCAAGGAGGGGAGCAGAGAAAAATGTAGAGCTCAATAAAAATCAATAAAAAAGAACTAGTAGAATTTGATTTATATCCTCTTTCATTCATGTCCATTATTTGCATTCAGTTCATCCTTATCACCTAATATTGAGCCTTTCTTGTTCTCTTTTCTACACAATGTACTGCACTGGCATGTACATGTATAGCTAGCTAGATTATGCATATGAGGGATGCAGAGACTTTTTATGAGACTGTGTGACCTCACTTAATGTTATACATCCTAATTTCATCCATTTTCTACAAATTTTGTGGTTTCATATTTTTTTCTTATAGTTAAATAGTATTCCACCTTTTACATATACCAAATTTTAATTATCTATTCTCTTGTTGCTGAGTAGTAAGGCTGATTATAGTGAATAAAGAAGTAATAAACATAGGGATGCAAATATGTCCATGACATATGAAATTCTCTGGGTATATACCAGGAGTAAAATATAAGGGTCATATGGTAGTTCTAGTTTTAATTATTTTGAAAACTCTAAAAGTTGATTTCCACAATGGTTGTATTAATTTGCACCCACCACCACCACCAGTGAATGAAGTTTCTTTTCTCTCCACATCCTCTCCAACATTTGTTGTTAGATTCACTGACTATAGCCACTCTGACAGGTGACACCTTGTGGTGGTATCTCTAAGTAGTGATTTTTATTTCCTATTTAAATTTTATTTTATTATTTGTAATTTTTATTTGCCTGATGGCTTTGGATAATAAACCTATTTGTTGACTGACAAATTTCTTTAAATCCTTGGTGTTTAATTACAATTTTTTGTAAGTTCTCAATAGTAGCCCTCTGAAGTATAGCTGGTAAATATTTTCTCCCATCCTGTGGGCTGTCTGTTAGCTCTGCTGAGCATTTCCTGTAACATGAGGGCCGACTTGTTGGGGTTTCTATCCCACCCAGTACCCCACAGCCAGCAAGTCCCAAAGAAAAATCACACAAAGATCTCCATAAAGTTATAAAACTGATTGACACATTAGCTCAGTCTTCTTATTAGCTCTTGTAGCTTATATTAACCCATTATTCTTATCTATGCTAGCCACATGGCTCTGTACCTTTCTCAGCCAGGCAGGTCACATGTTGCCTCTTTGGTGGCCTGGGCTGGACTAGCAGGAATGGGCTTCCTACTTCCTAGAATTCTCTTATTCTCATTGCCCTGCCTCTACTTCCTGTCTGGTTGACCTGCCTATACTTCCTGCCTGGCCTATTGGCATTTATTTAAAACATTATTGACAGAATACAGACAATTCTCCCACACCACTTCCCCCTCTTTTTTTTTTAATAAAGAAAAATATCCATAGTCCAATTTTGGGAATGTGGGCATAGTTTTTTCAGGCTACTTCTGGCTGGTTGGGGACACTGATAATCATGGGAATCTAAAGAGAATTTTGAGTTAAAATCAAGTCCTGACTGGAGTATCCTGTGAGTCTTGATCATCTCAGGCAGTAGTGTTTTTGTTGTTGTTGTTGTTGTTGTTTAATTTGATTTTTTTGAGACAGGGTTTCTCCATAGCTTTTTTGGTTCCTGTCCTGGAACTAGCTCTTCTAGACCAGGCTGGCCTCGAACTCACAGATTCGCCTGCCTCTGTCTCCCGAGTGCTGGGATTAAAGGTGTGTACTACCACAACCAACTACTCTCTTTCTTTTTTTTTTAACTTTAAGATCTTTAACTTTTAGCATGCATATATTTTTAACACACTGTAAAACATTTAGAGGTTTTCTTTGTCTTTGAATCTCTCTTTACTGTATCTCTCTCTTCTTCTGACCACACGAGTCTTTATGGAGAGGATTAAAACCGTGGCGTTGACAGCTGGATCCAGCCCATTCCTTAGCTTTCCAGCCTCATGGCGGAGGTACCCGCTGTAGCCATTTTTATTGCCACAACTCTATGGTGTTTCAAGGTCGTTGCCAGCAAGCAAGCTGCAACAGTCAAATGCTCTCTCTGTAGCTGACCTCCTTCCTCAAAGAGTCAGAGTTTGCACTGGCAGGATGGCCCAGAAAGCCAGCATTTTAAAACGGCACAGCTTTTTTTCCTGATGTGGCTGAAAACTGGAAAGCATGCGTTCAGCTTTTCATCAACACCATTTAAGTGTTTTGTGGCGGGACCTCTTAAAGAGCTGCAGGGTTTTGCAGCTAAAGCTGAGTCAGGAAGCCTCTCTTAAATCAGAGCACTTGCTTGCTGCTAGCAAGCAGAGCAGACCCGAGAAATTGCTGATACCAAGAAAACATGCTTTACTCTATTCTTTCCCAAGCTTTCTGTGAATGCAGTTATCCATGTGGGTGCCATCTGTAACATGAGGGCCGGCTTGTTGGGGTTTCTGTCCCACCCAGTACCCCACAACCAGCAAGTCCCAAAGAAAATCACACAGAGATCTCCATAAGTTATAAAACTGACTGGTCCATTAGCCCAGCTTCTTATTAGCTCTTGTAGCTTATATTAACCCATTACTCTTATCTATGCTAGCCACATGGCTCTGTACCTTTCTCAGCTGGGCAGGTCACATGTTGCCTCTTTGGTGGCCTGGGCTGGACTAGCAGGAATGGGCTTCCTACTTCCTAGCATTCTCCTGTTCTCATTGCCCTGCCTCTACTTCCTGTCTGGTTGACCTGCCTATACTTCCTGCCTGGCCAATCAACATTAATTTAAAACATTATAGACAGAATACAGACAATTCTTCCACACTAATTTCTTTTTTTGCATTTTTTTAAATTTATTATTGTTATTGTTCTTTTTTATTTATTTATTTATTAGATTTCTGTCTCTTCCCCACCGCCGCCTCCCCTTTCCCCCCCCTCCCCCAATCAAGTCCCCCTCCCTCGTCAGCCCAAAGAGCAATCAGGGTTCTCTGCCCTGTGGGAAGTCCAAGGGCCACCCTCCTCCATCCAGGTCTAGTAAGGTGAGCATCCACGAAACTGCCTAGGCTCCCATGAAACCAATAGGTACAGTAGGATCAAAAACCCATTGCCATTGTTCTTGAGGTCTCAGTAGTCCTCATTGTCCACTATGTTCAGCGAGACCGGTTTTAACCCGGGCTTTTTCAGACCCATGCCAGCTGGCCTTGGTGAGTTCCCGATAGAACATCCCCCTTGTCTCAGTGTATGGGTGCACCCCTCGCGGTCCTGAGTTCCTTGCTTGCCACACTAATTTCTTTTGCCATAAAGAGGCTTCTTATTTCCACGTAGTCCCATCTGTGAAAACATAGGGTTAGTTCCTGTGCT